AGCCATCCTGCATTGCTCTAGGAAACTCATTTACACTGGGGATTCTGGCTGAATAACTTGCTCGGTTTTCAGGACAAGGTTAAGTAAAAAAAAATTGTAAAAATCTTGAATGCATTCATCAACCAAGATCAGAGAAGGTAAAATCTTCAGGACTAAAGGAGGGAAGTATATTGGAGATGCAGACAGCTATCTAGAACAGCTAAGAATTTCTAAATGACCTTGCCCTGCCTTGCTCACTGCTCCAGAAAAACAGGATAAAACGTTCCTCAAATGTTCCTATCAAACTCAAAGGCACCTGAGCCAGCTGGTGAAAACATCTTTGCAGACCATGCAGTCAGTGGAGTCAATACAGCAAATCACTTGATCAAATACAAATGTCTACTTTATGATCAGGATTACTGATCTCTAAATTCCGCTGACTGCATTGACTCAGCAACACGTCTCATCTCAACAGACTTTTAATTCCTTCACTTTTTTTTTTTTTTTTTGTCTAAAGATTTATTCTGCTATGAACTCATTTTTCAAGAAAGTCATTGTCCTTTATACAGTTAGCCAAACATCACGAGATACGAAACACAAACATTCACGTTAATCCAGTGCTGCCCAGGCATAACAGTGACGTCACAAGCAGCTGTGCCCCAGCACAAGGCAAATCCAGCATTCCACACCAAGTGAGAGTGTGCCTGATAAATGAAGCTACAGCAAAGACCAATAGATGGGCAGAAACTCATCTTGCCATACATTTCATAGAGCTCCATACATCAACTGAATAAGTTTTAAAAGACAATGAGTATTTTACACCAGCAACCACTCTCGCCTTGCACACGCATTCTGTCAGCTCTTCTCATCTGCTGCTACATCATCCACAGTCCCACCTTCCTTACGCAGCAGTTAGATTGCTTTTGTGCATGGCATTATGGAAGGCACTTTCCTATCTCTAAAATTCCCTTACACATCCTCTGCTGACGTACAAGGCCCACACAAAACAAAAACTACCAAACGTAAACAATATCTTGCTCCATATAATTAGTCTCAAACTGATGGAACTTTGCTAATTAGAGATCAGGTACCTCATGATTGATGACAGTCCAGCCACAGGAGGAATCGCTGTCACTGTAACTTTCAGACATTTTCAAAGCACGCTGCAAGTAAAAATAGATTATTTTAATATGCAAGATAAATAATTTCACTGCTTTCTTGTCAAATAAGTAAATAAATAGAAGGGGAAAAAAAAAAAAGAATCCACCTCATGGCATCACAGTATGCTACACGTTAAGCTTTATGTTGTTATTCTTGAACTGTGAGGAAAAAGAAGAAAGAATACGATTTAGACAAAAAATATATATTATTTTATACATACTCCCTATTATTTTTCTAAGCTTGAAATATGGCTTTTTCTAACACATACTCATCTCAGCCAGCCAAAAGTCTTCTAGGCTAGCAAACAGCCACACACACACAGCACCAGCCAATACATCAATAGTTACACTCAAAATGTGTTTGTTTGCAGCATCCTTGCTTAAAGGCACACTTCAGAAGGTGAAGTCATCTCGATCTGTTACAGGCAGAGGAACTAGAATGTACTGAAGAAAAACAGCTTTTGGAAGAAGATACTGATCAGTATTTAACAGACTGCCCAAGGAGGCTGTGGATGCCCCATCCCTGGAGGCATTCAAGGCCAGGCTGGATGTGGCTCTGGGCAGCCTGGTCTGCTGGTTGGTGACCCTGCACATAGCAGGGGTTGGCTGAAACTAGATGGTCACTGTCGTCCTTTTCAACCCAGGCCATTCTATGATTTTTTGAAAATAACTCTCTTCTGGGCAATGTCTTCGTTTCAGCTCCTTACAAGAACACACACTGATTCCAAAGAAGCTGAGAGCAGCCAGAGAGCACAGAAGCAGAACGGAAAAAGAGCTGAAGTACAGATTTCATGGTTATGGCACTGCCAGATGACTGGGGTAGCTATTTTCAGGACAGCTGTTGGCAGCAGCTACCTCCATGCCTGTTTTTTTTCTCCTGTAATACTGAGTATTGAATATTGTTACACGTTTAGACTACTTCCATTTCTTAACAGAAAGATTTCAAAAAAAGTTCAATGCATCTCTTGTCCCTTAAAGTAAAAAAAAAGCTCAACTGTTCAATAAAATCAGCCATAGCAGAATCACTGTGGGGAAAAACAAAAGCTCCCAAAGGCAGTACAGGAAGTCTATCGTGTCTGTGCTACAACAAAATGGCAGAGGAAATTGTTGTTCAATAAAGCTTCTATAAAATCTCATTTATATTGCTGATGGAGAACTCTGAGAACTTAATGCATCTGCTTAATTTCTCACACCTCAATACTCTGAGTGAGAACACAGGTAAACAATCATTTCTTGAACTCCTCTCTACTTTCCCACCAATGTTATCTTTGCTCTCAGCACATTATTGCAGAAAAACAAATAGAACTAGAACACCTAAACATGCACAGCAAAGTACAGAACTTCCAAGTCTAAGTTTTTCAAGAACACAGTCCATGTTTGTACTTCCATGCTACGTTGCTGTGCATTTTTCTAAAATAAAGCTTCTTCCTCATCGCCTTGGATGAATGTATCTGGGATTCCTCCAGAACCAGGGCAATGATGACAATCATGACCAGGCCATTAGGAAGCAGCATTAATCACTGTAGCTACCAAACCTACAGAGAAATCCAATTTCCATTATGAAGCCCCAATCCAAATACAGCGTTCTTCCTAACAAATGGCACAGACTGCACTGCAGAGCTCCCACCACGGGACACCATGTGCCTGCTGTCACTAACCTGCCCTGAATGTGAGCAGTGCTGCTCTGAGGGCTGCCAGCACCAGAACGTGCCATCCTCCAGAATTGCTGCTGCCTACGTTGCAAACCCCACTCATCTCAGGTTATCTGTTAGGAATTCCCTTTGATATAAAAACATTCCCATTTCATCATTCTACAGTTCAGCAAACACAGTGATCATAAGAACACCGACTTCACTGTCACTGAAAACAAAGCCTTTTGCTTATCCACTGTATTTCAGGGTAAATATGGGACAAGTTGTACTTGTGAGTCTGATCTCTCCTGTGGATGAAAGAATAAACGAAGGCTGTGGTTTTGCCATACAGCAATACAGCAAATCCAGTCACACTGCATCTCAGTGCTAAAGGAAAAGCAACGAAATCACATAATGCAAACCCTTTCATAACCAAAAAAAAGTGTTTCTGTTGATACAAAGGCATTTACAAACTTTGAAAGGGCATTTTCTCACAGCAGACTTGGTGCTGGACACAGCCGTACCTGTCCTCCTCTGACCAGGTAAGCATTTCAGCATGGCCCTGGCTACAGCAACACAGATGCTACGACGTGCTGTCCCTCCTCCCAGATTGGGTAGACAGGTAATGGAGCACAGCATGAAACCAGTTCCAACAAACACACCACCTCTGGCTCTACAGAGCTGTTTAACATCTGTGTTCCCTCCCAAATCCACAGCTTCAGGTTTCCTCCCTTTAGCAGCATGGGGATATTTGTGTAACCCAAAGATATTCAAAACCAAGGGACCGGCAGCCAAACAATCGTTATTTTGTACAGCTTGCTGGCCTTGATGAACAGCCTTGAGTTAAGGGTTACTTATCTTGTGCTCAGCCTGAATGTCCCACCAAGACTGGACAGCTAACTGCATACAGGTGAGCAATCAGCAAAAAAAAAAGTTGTCCTAGTATGAAAAATAATAAAGAAAAAAAAAGAAAAAGAATTACAAAATAAGTGAGATTGATAAGTGTTATATTTATCAAGATGCAAGACAGTTCTGATATTAGTTGATTAAGTTCTGACAGCCTGAAAGGCACCTATTGGACATCTGTGTTCTTACAAGCACAGAAGTCAAGCTTTTCAGAATGATTCTGTTCTAAAATAAAACAGCTCGCATAGCTTTATAAAAAACTACCCAGGTACGCTGCTCCTGAACCGCGACCAACGGCTAAGCTGCTTATTTCTCTGAAAGATTAATAAGACACGCACAGTCCTAACAGTTCGAGTTCTTTTATACCCCAGCCTGCAGCGGGCAGATAACCGCAGGCCCCAAACCCTCCGCCGACACCTGCTTTGATACGGCGTCCGGAAGCCCGAGGCGCGCCGCCCTGCCGAAGCGCGGGGCGGAGGCAGGGCGCTACAGGCCGGCAGACACCTGTCCTGCGGAGCGACCCGCGCGGAGCGCCGCACCCTGCGCGCCCACGGGAGCCGGACGGGAGCCCGCAGCGGAACAGCGCACAGCTGGCACCCCGCACAGCGGCTGGGCTGCAGGACCCGAGGGGCCGCCGGAGGAACGACGCGGAGCCGGAGCTCGTCACGGCCCGCCGCGCCCCGGCTCCAGCGGACGCTGCCGGTTCTCACCCCGCTCGTCCCGTCCGGACCCCGTCCCGCCGAGGCAGCGCAGGTGCCGCCCGCCCGCCCGTCCCGCGGCGGGGGATGATGAAAGAGCAGGAAGTTGGCACGCGGCGCTGCCCGAGGCGGCGGGGCCCGGCTCACGGCTTCCCCCCTCAGCCGCGCCGCACCGCACCCGGAGCGCCCCGTCAGCCGGAGCGCCCCGTCAGCCCCCCGCCCGAGCGACCCCCGAGCGGCCCCGGCGAGCTCCCCCCCCGCGGGCTTCGCCCCGCCGAGCGGCCCCTCCGCACCGGGACCGATCCCCCGCGGCCAGCCGCAGCGCGGACCGCGCACCGTAAGCGCCGGGGCCGGCAGCCCCCGGGGCCGCCCCGCCGCCTACCTGAGAGCGGGGCCCGCCGCAGACGACGGAACGCCGGCGGGACCGCCGCTGACGCCGCCGCAAAACAACACCGACCGCCCGGCCCGGCGCCTGCGCACGGCGGCGGCGCCCCGGGGCGCCCTGGAGAGCGTAGTCCGCGCCCCGCCGCGGCCGGCCGGCCCGACCGCCCCGCCGACTACAGCACCCGAAGCGCTCCGCGCCGCGCCCGGCCCCGCCCCGCCGGCCCACGGCTGCTATGGCGACGCCGCGCCGCGCACCGCGGCCGCAACGGAACCGCCGAACCCGGCGCAGGGCCGCGGAGCAGCCCGGCCGTTGGGGGCTCGTCTCCGGAGCTCCGGGCGAAGGGACGGCGCTCCTGGGCGACTGCACCGCGCTACGGGCACGGAACGCTCTGCTGAGAAAGGGGGGGAACTGGAGCCCTGCTTAGGGCACGCCTCTGACAGACTGGAAGAGCCAAAACCAAAACGTAACAACCGCATCGCCTTATTCTTACACGTATTTTCTTATCACCCTTCTGCTTCTGTCACACATTAAGGCATGTATGCTCAAAAGCAGATATTAATGATGCAGAAATTAATGCCAAGTCAAGCTTTGTTACTACATCTCAACACGAGTTCATTTCTCCCTGCCCCCAGCTGACTACAGAAGGTCAGAAGCAAGCAGTGCGCAGCTCCCTGCTGCACCCACGTATTTCACCACATGCCTTGCACAACGCTCTGACCACAAACATGAACAAATGTGAGATGTTCTGCCCCGGTATGTGAAAGGCTGAGGGAAACCTGCTTCTTTAGCAGGGCAAGATGACTTCTGCTGAGAAAGTGCCTCAGACTCCAATCACCAAAAAAAACCAAACATCTCCTCATCCTCCTCCCTGCACAAACCCCTGGAATCCCACGTTCTCCTGCATGCTGGAGTCCAGCATGCTCCTGACCAGCAGTTCTTTGGCAAAGCCTCAAGTTTTGCTTTTTAAAACAGCCTCACACAAATACAGCCCTACAATACCTACTGCACAGATGCTGCCCCTTATGTATCATCCCCTGGATCAAACATTTCCAGAACACTTACTCACTTGTGGGTCACTCAAGGTTGTTATTTAAATACTGCCCTTGACAGAAGTAGGGTTTATGACTACCCCAATTTGCAGCATACTTTGTAACAAATGAGTCTGTTCTCTCACAGACCAGACACTTTGCTTTAAGAACTCTGACTTTGTTGTTTCAGTTGTTCTGGAAATAACAGCCAATATTTCAGTTGCTTTATTTTACTGCTGTGAGTAAAACATACCCAAAAAGACGTAGCACATCGATGACACGCTTCTCTGAATCATACATAAACTGCAAAAATAAAACTTCTGAAACCTATCATATGTGTAACTATAAGAAGAGTCAAGTGCAGGAGTTGTTTCCTGGAATGGTTATGTTTAAATTATTTTCTGATTTTAAAACTCCAGCCCGACTGCTACAACCCAGGACATTAAGTATCAGCCTACCAAACCTGACTTTGATGTGGTATACACACCACAAGCTCAGGTGTTGAAATCAGTTTAACTCCATTTGCTCCCCAAATAGCCAAATGAGACAGGCTGGTGTTATCTGTACCAAGTACATTTGATTCTGCAGGCTCTACCAAGGGAACTGTGTCTTTTTCACAGCGGTAGAAAAAGGTGCCTGTGTTCATCAGAAACAGCCTTAAATAGCTATCGCAGATCACTACAATACAAAGAGCTTATATGGACGTACACAGGTTATTCTAACAGACTCCAAAACCAAACCAGAGAATTAGAGACTCAAAACCAGAACCCGCTTCCTTCATCTTCCTCCTCTCAGTGACTCCTTATCTTAACCCTCGCTTCACTTCAGTATTTACATGAAAGAAAGCTACCTATTTTGGCAAGTGTAGTATTATTACACTTAACTGAGGCAGTGCCCTCCTTTCAACTGCCATAAACGAAGCATTCACACCTCCCTGCCCTGCAATTCAGTACCTATCTGCAGATAAGACGCAGCTACCCCGGGCATTCTGACTCTGCTCAGCACAACTCCCAAGGCTCTAGGTCAAACATCTGGAAGCAACACCTGCCACCCCCTCCTTGTTTCAACAGCATGAAAATCGCACAGAATATCATATCTACATATATATTTGTACATTCTTTCTCAATTCCCTTGTTCGGTCAGCCCAAACAAATGATACAAAATAGTCTGCAAATATTTAATGTACACGGCTGCTAAAAAAGAATATTCTATGCTACGTAAAATTTACCTCATGATTTCAGGTGGAGGTTATCTAAGCTGGGTGCCTGAATTATAGTGTATGAATTCACTATCTTAGCTTCAGATATACCAAGCTCTACAAGCACAAAGAAAAGAGGAAAGCACATAAAAAAGAGAAGAGCCTTCAGGCTGCAGCAGGAATCGCGAGAGCTCAACAGGCACAAAAGTTCAGACTACTTAATTTTACACCATCCATGTTAGATTTATTAAAAATAAATTAATATTTCCTACTGCAAATCCATATAAAATGTATGAAATTACTAAACTTATATTTCACATAGACTTCACAGCAGATGCTTTCACTAGTATCCAAGCACAGATAACTGTTTTGTCTTCAGTGAAGAACAGGAAGAGAAGTTCTGTGCTGACTACAGGGAACTACTGAAGATGTTTGAAAACTCACTGCCTAGATTCAGTATATACTTCCAGACAAATAATTTATTTGGTTGTAGGTAACTTTAAATCAAGTACAAAAGGTATGTTTTACTCTTTAGCTCACGGCACAGAAAGAAAAACTTGACAACCTTGTATCAAAATGATATGCAGTATATCTAATCATATTTGTTACAGAACTATGCTTGCCAAAAAATAACAATTCATATCCAATATTTTATAAATTCAGTAGGTATTCCAAGTGAAACAAAAAAAATCTAGTTAGCAACATATTGAAGAGAACATGAACTAAGGCTTCTTCTGAGGCCCTCAAAAGGCACCCCTCACAAAAAGCTCCTTTTTTATTTTTAAGAACTTTGCACTGTTCCTTGAATTGTGTGTCGAATCTTCTCTGCATCTTTTTCTATAGTTTTATTTTTAGGATCAATCTTGAGAGCTGCTTCATAATCCTGGAGACCTAATATCAATACATTAATAAGAGCATCAATCATTAATGCAAAATCTTTTCCTCTTTAGCAACTAACTGGAAATAAATGCTCCCTAGCTGACTGCATAAAGTATTGCTCTTGAAATTTGCTACTGAGCGAAACGGATCAGAAGAACAATAGGATTAACTGCTGTCAGTATACTAAATGTATACCTTGTTATTTTAAAAAATATTTTAATGGAAACATCACTGCTACACAAACATTTCAGACCCTGAAACACCAAGAGACCCACTTCCTTATACATATGTGTCTCTGCTCACACACAGAGGTCAATTAACTTTGGCCTAACTTTTTCAGCCTAAAGACTTTTCACAGGGTAGGGCTTCTACCTGCAGACTATCTTACAATTGTTCTAAGTTTGCCATTCAGTTAATAAATAAACAAATGAGCACAGCAGCCTAATCAAATGGTTTCTACATCAGACAAAATTATATCACAGGCATACTGGGTAAAGGAATTACAGATGAGGGGAGTGTTCAAGAGTGTTCTGCAGCAGATAGAAAAATTGACTAATGGAACGAAAGCACATGAAAACAAGAAAAAAAACCACATGCTGTGAATAAGATAGCTTGAAGATATAAGAAAAGGAAGGAAGGAAGGAAGGAGTCCTTATTAGGTTTTCCTGTAAAAGTGAAATCGTAAGGAAGTGACAAAGGGATTCATAGATAAGAAAAGATAACAGCTGGGGAAAGCTCCACATATACATTTTGAACATTCTTCATTTCCTATTATCATCTTTCCCTTTTAACTTTGCCTCAGAAAGCCAAGGGACACATAACTCATATCTGTATAAAGATGACACATACTTGATAAACATCTTTTTGTTCAATATGGACTTCATATAAAGGTTTACAAAGACATGTTACTACAAAGGTCACAAACAAGTAGTTTAGAAATATTTCAGGTTATTTTAATTTAAAATGTTCTATAGTTGCTAATGCTATAATCTAAAAATCAGTATAACGTTGTCTCATGAACAGCTGAACTACTGCAACCTAGTTTCACATCAGTTTGCCTTCCATATTTGAATGCTTCCTAATTCAAAAGTCTCACGTCTGACCCCTCATTTCACTCCACACTAATACCCTCCAGGGCCAGCAGCTTGCTACAGTCAAGATTTGGCTGCAATGCACAGAAAGACTGACTACTCAACGGACCAAAGGGAGGATGATACACAACTCACTAAAGCCTTTTCCTCAATGAAACTAATGTGTTTCCCCTAAATTAGAAGTGTAATCAATTTTCTGACAACTTAAGAGTTAAAAAAAGCAAGTGGAATTGCAATTAGCCAGTAAATTGTCCTTCCTGAAAAAAAGAAATACAGGTGTGAGCAGTCACGCTGAGCTAAACTAATGACTCAGTTGTCAGAATGAGTCCATGTGCATGTGTTCACAAAGATCAAGGTCTTACCTTCAGCATACAGCTCCAGCTGACAAAAGGCTGTGCCACGTCTCACATATGCTTTTACTCGAGCATTCTCATTATCAGGAACAGGTGGTGTTAGCAATTCTAGTGCCTTCATAAATGAAAACGCCAGAAATAGTTAGAAGTAGATTTTCCATAATTCTGTTGATTTTTTTTGTTTGTTTGGGGTGGGTTTTGTTTGTTTAATTTACACATATTCCTTTCACTTAATAAATAACAATTGAAATGTAACTATAGAGCCTACATATCTCACTAGTATTTCTATCACTCATCCCACAGCTTGATAAATATATTATCACCACCATGGTTAATACATAAAGATGATGCAGCCCTTACTGAAAAAATGTCTGGTATTTTTAAGGTGTCTTCCTTACTACTACTGCCACCTCTTCTTTCTTCCCACCAAATGAAGAACATTACAATATAACACAACAGTAGTTGTGCATATTCAGTGCTTTTTCTGCTCCAAGTTGGTGGTTTGTTTTGTTTTAATCCCTTGAGTGAAAATGTTCCCATGATATTTTACTAGTAAAGAAGCATGTACCAAGTCAACTGGCTTCATTATATCAATTTTGAATTCAAAAATTGTGAATTGCACTATAACTTTTTTTTTTTTTTTTTTTTTTTACAGATCTTCTTGGAACAGAAGTATTGCAATAACAAATCACAACTGTGTATAAGACAATAGTCTGAGAATCTATACGTTTATACCTTAGAGGAATCTTCAATGGCTTTGTGTAAATTTCTCAGCTTAAGATGGCAAGCAGCACGATTCAAATACAGTAGTGGAAGCTTATTGTTTAGCCGGACTGCAAGGTTATATGCATTTACAGCTGCAAGATAGTTTCCTGTTGCAAACATTTTGCTAAGTATAAAGCAAGAAGTGAAACGTGATTTCAACAAGGTAATGCATCATGAAACAAATATCTACTTATTGATAAGAATTAAGCAAAAATTAAGGATTTAGCAGAGTTCATTGGTCTTTTCTGAGAACTTAGTGTTCAGAATGTCAAACAATGCACAGAACATAGCATATTGATCATGCTTTGCAAAGTCACATGTCTATGCTTAAAAGCAGATCAGTAAAAAGTGGACACATCTATGCAGCCACATGACCAAATTTAAAAGAGATACATCAGATTATGATTATCTAATCAAAACATCCTGTATAACACAGCTACATACATGCACCAATAGTTTTATAAATTCCTAATGCTTGCTTCAGACAGGTATTTAACATCTGAATAAGTGCAACTGACAGGAAATCACTTTGGTGTAATATTTCACTAATTGAACTCAGTATGAAAATGTGCTGTATTTGTTTATGATTTTGTTTATTTTTAAATGATGAATTTCCTTCAGCAATTTCATCTCATGACTTTCTATGACATTAAAATCCCTTAGGTTATCAATAAACTCTTCACTGTGTAGACATTCCTCACCTGTGTTTAGAATAAACAGAAAATATCACAATTATACACAAGACAAACACAATGTAACTAATATTTCATTGAAAATAAATCTTCATATGGAATCTAACTTACTTTCCTTTGTCCTTTAACCAGTCTGGATTTTTCTCTTCTTCTTTTAAATCTTCCAGCTCAGACAAATTAGCACTTATTATCCTTCGAGCTTCTGCCTGTTTTTGTAGCCACTTTAAATATACAATTTGCAAGTATTATTTCTGAAGGAAAAATTAAATATTGTTCTTATCTGCTCATTCAGTCTACCAAAAGAATTCTATTTGCCTCATATTTTGGGCAGAGATAAATATTTAATAATGTAAGACAGGAACAATTTCCTATTTTCCCCAAATATTTTATTGCTGTGTGAGAAGTACAGTCACTGCATTATTAATACCTATTCAATAAAGCTCAAGAGAGACTAAAGCTTTAGTGAGTTCCTTTTTAAGACAGAACTTAATGAGTCTTAAATGTAAGAGCAAAGAAATTTCAAACCTTGTACTTCATGGAATTCAATATTGCAAATTTTTAAT